GAAAAGCGTCGCGTTCGGCCTCCGGCTACTAGAGCTTTTCTCTCCGCGGAATCAGCTCCGCGCGACCGCGCGTCAGTCCGCCCGCCACCACGGCGTCTTCCGCGCTCTCCGCGGCAGCAGCAGGGGCCCGCGTGGCCTCTGCTGCTCCTGCTGCCACCGCTGCAAGTTTCAGGCTTTCTTTGCGCGATGGAGCTGCTAGTACTGTTAGCAGTGCGAACGCAAGCGTTTGTGCGAGCTTGACAAGTTCGACTCTTTCTGCGAGTTCCACGAGATTGCTGCATCGAGGGGAGTTCTTGACCGGGCGACGACTGGCCATGGCGAGTGCGGCTGTTGTTCCGACGGGAGGCGCGCAGGAGGAGGCAGGTTTAGGGAAAGCAGCGGAGACAACACCCGCTGTTCCAGGTGAGGTGTATTTTCAAGAAAGGAAACCCGTACGAGTGGATTAAAGAACCGTCTGGAGGTTAGGACGTGTGATAGGTAACAGCATGCCGGCTGGGATTGAGCGACGGTCGTTCGGTTGCTCGTAAGATGAACGAGCCTGTGTGGGTCCGCTCTCTCGTCCCCAGGACGATGCTAGTCGCCTCGCCGCTCCTCAGGTTCGCCGATTCGCCGCTCCCCAGGTCACCCCCTTCCATGGCATAGAAGCCACCGTAGCGTTTTGGGTACTTCAGTTCGTATTGATTGCCCCATCGCTGCCAGCACCCGTTTTTCTCGCTCAAAAACGCCCGTCGTCGCATGGCTTTCGTGCAGCAGGCTTCCTTCTCATGCCGCCTTTTGTCCGCCATTTTCCGCTCCGCTGCTTCCCGTTGCCCACTTCTCTTCCCCCCTCCCCCCTTCCCCCATCCCCCCTCATTTTTCCCCCGCCCCCCTTGTCTGTCATGTCAGTGCAAGCAACGGCGATTCATGACACGCACAAGATCCACGTGGCATCACCGGACGACGCGGCGCATCGCCCGGCGGTGCCCGTGCGGTCGCACGACATGCTCGCGCCGTTCACCGCGGCGCACCAGTTCACCGACGCGCACCCGCTCGTTATAGTCAAGTCCGAGGGCGTGTACATCTGGGACAGCGACGGGCGGCGGTATTTGGACGGACTCGCGGGGCTGTGGAGCACGGCGCTGGGCGGCAACGAGCAGCGGCTGATCGACGCGGCGGACGCGCAGATGAAGAAGCTTCCGTTCTACCACTCGTTCTGGAATCGCGCCACGGAGCCCGCCATGGAACTCGCTAAGGTGCGGCGCGTCGCGCGTTGCACATGGCGCATGGGCCATGATGCATGGCGCATGGGACTTGGCGCTGTCGGTGTATCTCCCATCCGCTCCCCGCTTGAGACGCTTCCGCTCCCACCTTCCTCTAGCTGCGTCTTTTACTCAATCTATCGCCCTCAACCCCTCTCCCTTTTCCTCTCCCGCCGTCCCCTCTCCCCTCGTCCCCTCTCTCCCCGTCCTCTCCCCCCCGTGTTCCCACTTTCCCCCTGCTGCGCAGGAGCTGACGGGCATGTTCACGGCGGAGCGCATGGGGCAGGTGTTCTTCACCAACAGCGGCTCTGATGCCAACGACACGCAGGTGGGCACCACAGGGAGGGGCTGACCGCTCTGGTGGGCTCAGGTGAGGGGGGCACCCCAAACACCCGGTGTGTGGTTTTGCTCTGATGCCTAAGGGGTGGAGAGGTGTGGTGGTGGGGAGTGACAGGCACACATCCCCACACGACCATCCCAATCAACAACTCCTCTTTTCCCTGTAGTTCCACACACGCTTCATCCCCTTCCATGCCCTCGTCCCACATCCCACCATCTCACCATCCCACCCAACCATTCCGCCACGTAAAGCTGATGTGTTATCACAACAACACGTGACCAGAGCGACTTTTGAGGCGTCTCAAAAGTTATCACAACAACACGTGAGCAGAGGCAAGCAACATACTCACATCCGCGCATCCCCTGATGTCCCCTGGTGCAGGTGAAGCTAGTGTGGTACAACAAGACAACGCGCTGGGGTGGGTGATAGAAGTAGTGTTGTGTTTTGAGACGTCTCAAACCCCCCCCCCCCCCTATCCGCCTCTCCTGCAGGTGAAGCTGGTGTGGTACTACAACAACACGTGACCAGAGCCAAGCAACATACTCCCATTCTCCCATCCCCTTATCCTCCCCCTCTTTTGTGCAGGTGAAGCTGGTGTGGTACTACAACAACGCGCTGGGGCGGCCGAACAAGAAGAAGTTCATTGCGCGCGACAAGGCGTACCACGGCTCCACTCTCGTCTCCGCCAGCCTCACGGGGCTCTCCCCGCTGCACAAGAGGTGCGCTTCGGGGAGGGGTGTGGGTAATGAGGGGGGACTAACGGGCGGAGAGAGGGGTGTGGGCTGTAGGTTGCACTGGATGGGGTAGGAGTGAGGGAGAGGGGAAGCCGTATCGTGGCTCCTCGCTTGTCTCTGCCAGCCTCTCTCGCTCTCCCCTGCTCCCCGCTTCCCCTTCCCCCTCGCCCCTTTTGCTGCTTAGACCTGCCATGGAGTTTCAACTCTTTCCCCGCTGACTTTGACACTCAGATTACCTTGCTCAATTATACCCCTTCTGAGACGTCTCAAAAGGCGTTCCCCTTCTTACTCCGCTGCTCCCGTCTCCTCACCTCACCCTTCTCCCTCTTCTCCCTTTCCCCTCTCTCCTCCCGCCCCCCCTGCAGCTTCGACCTGCCAGTGGACTTTGTACTCCATACAGAATGCCCGCATTACTGGCGCTACGGCCGCCCAGGCGAGAGCGAGCAGGAGTACAGCACGCGCCTCGCAGAGAGCCTAGAAGCGCTCATAGAGCGCGAGGGCGCTGATACCATCGCAGCCTTTATCGCCGAGCCGGTCATGGGCGCCGGGGGCGTCATCCCGCCTCCGGCAGGCTACTTCGAGAAAGTCCAGGCGATTCTGCGCAAGCACGACATCCTCTTTATAGTGGACGAGGTGGTGTGCGGCTTCGGCCGCCTTGGAACCATGTTTGGCAGCGACCTTTACAACTTACAGCCGGACCTCGTGACGCTCGCCAAGGCCCTTTCCTCTGCGTACATGCCGATCGGAGCGGTGATGATCAGCCATAGGATCGCGCACGAGGTGGCGGCGCATAGCAACAAGATGGGGAGCTTTGCGCACGGGTTCACGTACTCGGGGCACCCGGTGGCGTGTGCTGTGGCGCTGGAGGCGGTGAGGATGTATCAGGAGATGGACGTGGCTGCTGTTGTGCAGGCTGCTGAGCCGCTGTTCCAGGTGAGAGAGGGGGTGAGGGGGCTTTGAGTCAGCTCATAGGTCACCTGGAGGCTGTGAGGATGTATCAAGAGATGGATGTTGCTGCTGTTGTGCAGGCCGCTGAGCCGCTGTTCCAGGTGAGAGGGGGTGGGAACAAGGGAGGGGAGGAGGGGTGGGGGGCTGGGTGGTGTATGGGATGTGTGGGCTTGTTTGGATGTGGCGTGTGCTGTGGCGTTCGAGGCGGTGAGGATGTATCAGGAAATGGACGTGGCTGCCGTTGTGCAGGCCGCTGAGCCGCTCATCCAGGTGAGAGAAGGGGTACGAGGGAAAGGGAGGTGAAAGTGACTGGGTTCTTGTCCTGCTTTCGCTATTATCCGCAGTCCACCATTCCTCATCTTTTCCTTAACATTTTTAAATCCTCTTCCCCATCTTTCCAACCCACCCCTCATCCTCCTCCCCCTGGTCCCCCTCTCCTCACTCTGGTTCTCCCCCCCCCCCCCCCCCCACATGCAGGGAGGCATACGGCACATCTGCCGCAACAGCCCCATAGTGGGGGAGGTGCGGGGGCAGGGCCTCATACTCGCTATAGAGCTCGCAGATCCCGCCACCAAGGAGCCGTTCCCGTCCGCGTGGGCCGTGGGGCCCTTCTTTGGGCAGTGTGCAGCGGCGCATGGGCTCATCGTGCGCACCATTGGAGATGTCATTGCTATGTCGCCTGCTCTCATCATTTCTCCCGGGGAGATTCAGGTGAGCGGGGAGGCATGGCGCTGGGTGAGCTGAGAGGTGTTTCGTTCTTTGGGGGATATCGAGGCGAGAAGTGGTGGGGGGAAGGGTGAAGGGAGAGGGTGCAGTAGGGGAGGGTGAGGGGAGAAAGAGAGGGGAGAGGGGGACAGCATCCCAGTGGCGGAAGGGAGAGATGAACATCAGGTTGACTCAAAATACTCCTCCCCAGTGTGTTGGTGTGCCCCTCTCTTTCCCTCCCTCCCTGCCTCTGTGCGCTCACTCCTTATGCCCACGTTCTAACAGGAGCTCTTGTCTATCATCCGCCTGGCACTCAAGGAGACAGAGGCCTACGTGCAATCCAAACTGGACATGGACTGATGTGGAAGTGACAAGGATTGATGTGGAGTGACATGGTAGAGCGACATGCAGTGATGTGGATTTGACAAGGATAGCTGTGGAATGAGAGCAGTGTTATCGGTGCCACCACTGCTTTTGAAACGCTGCCAGAGGCAGCTTGTATTTGCATGCTTTGTGAGAACATGCTTTGCGTACATGTGATGTGCTCATGTTCGATAGGTTCGAAGCACCGAGGAATGGCTGAACAATGTTGTACCGCCTTGGCTAGTTACTGAAATGCTTGTACCGTATGTACGCAAAAGACAGAACTGGGAATGACCCTCATTTGGAAATTGTTCAACATAACAGTGTATTTGATGTTCACTGAAGTGGCAGTATCATAAAAGGTGATCATACCGTAGCATAGCATGCCCGAGAGAAGTTACCTGGTAGAGAGTCATTACCTGTGTTAAACCTACGATAACAAGCTAAATTCCCTACTAAATCCCACAAACATTGCACAACACTTGCTGTTGCAATGTGCTCGGAAGTTGAGCTGTACAAGAGCTTGCGTTGCGACAGGCCCCAGCAAGCCTAGCAAGCAGGCATGGTGGCAATGCAATGCAAACCACTCCCGCATACCACCTCACACACAGTGTCGTGGTGTTCTCTGTTCTTCCCTCTGCCTCTGCCTCTGCTTTGGCCTCCAAGCCACGATCAGAACCTGCCTGCAGCAGGCAGCACACTGCGCCTCACCTGTACACCTGACATGCACATGCACACGCATACGCACATGCATACGCATACGCACATGCACATGCACACGCACCCATGCACATGGACACGCACATGCACATGCACATGCACAGAGACCCTCAACATGCTTGTCATTCACACTCCCCTTGCCCTCACCCTAGGCTCACCCCCCTCTCTCATCATCACTACGCCCCCTTCATTCCTCCCCAATTCAGCCATGGAGTCTCATCACCTTACCTACAGGAATGAGCCAGCATGCTACTCTTGAAAGGAGAGTGCCTGCCGCACAAGCGACATTTGAGACGATGCCACACCACCCACACCACCCACACCACCACCACCACCAACACCCTCGCCCTCTGATTTACTTCCTCCCTCACCTCCCTTCTCACTCCCCTTGGTGGCCCCACCACTGCTCCTGCTCCTGCCACTCCCGCTACTCCTGCCACCACTCTTGCTGCTCCTGCTGCTGCTGCCACCACTGCTAGCACTGGTACTGCCCGAGCCCTTGAGCCTAGGCACAGGGAACGCCCGCTGGAAGAACGTAGTCAGCACAGGAGAGTGCGTCCCCAGGGCAACCAGGCACTTAGCTGCAGAGAGGGACGTGGAGCGGGTCTGCTGGTTCGCTGCTGCAGCACTGCCTGCTCTCCCCCTTGCACTCTCCCCAGCCGTGTGTGACACCTCAACCACCATGGGTGCTCTAGTCAATCCCAGGGCACTTGCCACTTGGCTGCAAGCCGGGCTGGCCCTTGTTGTCTCTACGCATTTCGTGCTGCCCAAAACTGCTGCGTCCTCACAGTCCTCCCCTGCAGAGCCTTGCTTCTCATCCCCTCCTTCGATAGGCACCAGGGGTGGTGTAAGAAAGACTTGTTTCCCATCCGTAGCAGGAGCCAACGCATCTGCCTCAACGGTAGCACATTCAGCTGCCTCGGCAGCAGAGTGACTGCTGCGGTTTCCAGAAGCCTGCTTCCTGGTCTGCTGTTTTCTGCTGCCACTGTTGCAGCTCTTGACACTCTTGCCGCTCATGCCACTACCACACGTGCTTGAGCTGTTGCATCGCTTACGCCTCCCACCGCCCATGCTCGCTCTGCTGCCCTGCAGTGAGCCATCGACGCGCTTCGTTCTACCCTCACCGTTATCATCATCAGGAACAGCAGCGTCAGTAGGAACATCAGCAGCAGCAGCCACAGGGGGAGCAGTAGCAGCAGCCGCAGGGGGAGCAGCAGCAGCAGCAGAGGAAGTAGCAGAGGCAGCAACAGCAGCAGGAGCAGCAGCAGCAGCAGCAGCAGCAGCAACATCCATCAACGGCGGCCCATCAGATTCCCGTACCGGTTCCACTCTTCTGCTCAGACCTTCGCTGCATCCATCCCCTCCCTCCCTCTCCTCCTCTTCCCCGTGCCCCTGCCCTGCACTCTTCCGTGTCTTACTCCGAGTCACCCTCCCTGACTGATAACTCCTTCCCTGGCTCTCCCCTGCTCTCTTCCGTCCCTTGCGCGCTGCCACTGCTCTTCCACAGTCAACCAGCCCCTCCCTTTCATTCATACCACTCTCGCTCATGCCCGTGTTCCTGCTCCTGCTCCTTCCGTTCCTCGTCCCTGCAGCAGCAGCATCAGGGCCAGCAGCATTCGCAGCAGCATGTGAACCGTCATCATCATCACCACCACCACCACCACCGCCACCACCACCGCCACCACCACCGCCAGCAGCAGCGCTGGCATCATTGACAAGCCCTTCCCCCTCCGCATCCCCCTCTCCCGCATCTCTCGTTGGCGCAGCGCGTGCGCCCTCTTCCTCTGCGCGCCTCTCCGCCTGCGCTTGCGTCAGCGCGCGAAGGCTACGTGCGCGCAGCCTCTGGATCATGTCCTGCAAATCGACGCCGCTCCCGCCACCTGCGCTGCTCTGCTCTCGGCCTCTTCCGCCATCCGCGCTGCTCTCCTCCAGGCCTTTTCCGCCATCTGCGCTTTGCTCCTCTAGGCGTCCTTCCCCGCTTGTGCCCATCCCCCCTGCGTCTCCTCCAACCTCACTCCCTGTCACAACGTTCTCCACGAAGTTTCCACCCGGTTCCTCCGTTCCATTTCCGGTCCCCTCTCCTCCTACCTCACCACTCACTCGGCAACGCATTGCAGCTGTTGCACTCTCGCGCCCACTTTCGCCTCCCACAGAGTTGGCGCCAGGAGTGATGGTTTCGCTGGGATTGTTGCTGTTTGAATTCTGAGAGCAAACAATCGCGCCGCATTGCATGGGGACAGAGGCATGTGAGCTGGATTGGGAAGATATTGTTATTACTGTTACTGCTTGTGGTGGTAACGCTGTTGCTGCGGGTGCACTTAAAGCTGCTCCTTGTTCTGCTTCTTCCTTCCTTTCTTCTTCTTCCGCCGCTGCGGATGGTGGTGCTGCTGCTGGCGCTGCTGCTGCAAGTTCTGCTGAAGCTGCCTTCCTTTCTTCTTCTGCTGCTGCTACCGATGGTGGCGCTGCTGCGGATGCTGCTGTTTCTTCTTGAACTGATTCTGCTGCAACTGCTGCTGCTGGCGGCGCTGCTGCTGCAGTTACTGCTTTCTCCTCATTTACTGCTGCAGCTGGTGCTGCTAAAACTGAATCGTCACCTCTCGCTTCTGCTGCTGCTGCTGCTGCTGCTGCTGCTGCTGCTGCTGATGATGATGATGATGCTCCTGATAGCAGCACTGGTGCTGCGAGTTCTGCTGGCTCTACTCCTGTGTCTACAGGCCAGTGAGTGATGGAGTGGCGGGGAACAGCGGGAAGCGAGAGGTGACGATTCAGCGAGCCTGCCTCCTCTGCCGAAGCCTGATGATCTCCCGAACCAGCAGCGGCAGCAGCAGCAGCAGTTTCAGCAGCAGCAGGAGGAGCAGGAGAAGGTAGCGGCGCCGTTTCAGCGGGTTCGTAGGCGGAGGGCGCGAAGGGGAGTGCCGCGGAGGTGGATGGAGGAGCGGACGCGTCACCGTGGCTGCGGAGGGAGTCGAGAATCTGGCGGAGGAGCTCGCGGCCCGCCTGCGATGAAAACGGGAGGTGGGAAAGGAGGGAGGAGGGAGAAGATTGGGCGGGAAACGGGGAGACGGAAGAGCGTGAGGTGCGGACGAGTCAAGAGACCAGCGCGAAATGCAACGAGATGGTCGCAGCATGGGGACGGAAGGAGAGAGACGGCGCTCGCGAGGTTTATCAGGTTGCGTGTCAGTCAATCGGGTGACCGACCATCAATAAATCAATCAGGTGTCCCTTCTCTCCTAGTCGTCCGTCAAACGACCAACCAGTCATGCTCACCTCATCTACCACTGAGTGCTCGAAACACCGCAGCATGTCCCTCAGCTTCTCATTCTCCTTCCGCACATCTTCCGCCACTGCCTCCGCGCGCCTCTGCTCCTCCTCCGCAAGCCGCCGCTTCTCCACCGCCTCTCGCGCAACTCGCCTCCACTCACCCGCCCCGGACGGACCAGCGTCTCCGCAACGCTCTTCCGCTGACTGCTGCCCACCTCCCACCGCCAACACCCGCGCATCTACCTCGTCCTGCTGGATTCTAGCAGAACGGTCTTCCTGAACATTCGTCAAGCCTGGACCAGTCTCTGAGTCCAAATCCAGCCTGACTGTCATATCGCCCTCCACTACCTTATCAACTGCCACTGCCGGACACGGATCAGCGGCGTCGCCTGCTGGAACGGTTGCTTGCGGCAGGGGCGTGCGGGGCAGCTGGTGCCGCGCGGGCGGAGGAATTGCCAGCGCCGCTTGGAGCAGCGCATCGTCGTCGTCCGACGGCACCGTCGCACAGTGCGTCGCAACGTTCGTAGGGGTGTTCGATGGCACGGGAGAGCTATGTGCGACAGGGAGCTCTCCGTCCTCAACGGACAACGTCGCTTGCTCTTTCAACGCGCATTCAGGCTCATCCCTTCCTCCCACTTCCTCTACTTGCGCTCGCCTACGCGTCTGAATTTCTGCCGACTTCTCGTCCTCCTCGCCCTCAGGTGTGGAAGACAGAGGCAGATCCCCTTGCAAGCCAACTACTGCGGGTTCGCTTATCACGGCCTCCACTCCTTCGTCTACAAGAACAACCTGTCTCTTGACCAGTTCGCCAAGGCTCGCCTCACAGCGTTGTCGGTACCGCTCGGCCTGAGCCTGCAAAAAATCCAGCCGCCAACAAAAGTAGGAAACGTGAGGCAAGTTCAGTGGAACAGGCGTCTGGCGGTAACCGTTTGTTAAGGAATTAAACGAGAAAGAAAATCGGAGCAGAAACGAATCTGAGAAAGTTAGCTGAAAACAGGATCGTGAAACAAGTGGGCCTGTCGTGCCTGGCGTGGAGGAGAGGTGCACCTTGTTAATCTCGGCTCGAAGCTGCTGGATAGTTTGCTTCCGAGATAGGAGAGCTTTTCCTGCGACTGCCGCGGCTGAATTGACGATAAAACGGCGTGCCGTGTATTAAGCACGATGACAAGCGTGCGACGTCACCGAGAGGATGAGCGAAAGAGGACAGAAGACAACAACAGTAAGAAAGTTAGGCACGAGAATATGATGGAGAGCAGGAGAAAGCTCCAAGTGTTTTAAAATTAACGGCAAGGGCTGGAAGACACATATCAGCGACCTTGCTACGAGTCTACCACCACCTGAATTACAATCAATCCAGCGGCAAACGTCCAAGATCAGGTGAATCGGCGGCAACAAAAACTTTATGTTTCTTTTTTATCGTTGAACGCACCTAACCGTCGATGGTTGGCAAGCAGTTTGAGCTTTTGGAGCCCATCTTCCACGGCCGTAAGATCATCTTCAACATGCCGATTTAACGCCTCCATAGAGCTCCGCTTCCTAGCCTGTCGTACGAGAAAACGATTCGCGCCAGATTTTCCATTGTATCGGAATTTTCCATTATAAGAGACGAATCCACGCGTAAACTGAAGAGGTATGGCAAGAATGGCCATATTTTTCGATATCTCACCTCCTCCCACTGCTTTTCGCGAATTTCTCCTTCCACTTGCATTGCTCGTTGCACCGCTGCTCCCGCGAGGCTGACGGACATAGCATGCTGCAAAAGGATCTCCTGCTGTCGAATCAGCTCCTTTGTATGCTCGCTCACCGCTGCTCCTGCCTTTTCAGCAGACTGTCGACTCCAATAGTCGGCCCTCGAGCGTTTCTTAGGCAGCCGTATTCCCAGCTCTCGGCACTGTTTCGTAAACGGGCTATCCATGGCTGCACTGACGCGCAGCGGATGCTGACTGGTTGTTGTCATGCTCAGAAATCTGATTTTGCTAGTTCTCAAAAGTTCGTAGATGTGTGACGTGAGTGGCCGAGCTTCCTATCTTTCTACCGAGTGCCAATATGTAATGTTCTAGCAATGTTACTCCTATGCAACTGCATCGAGGATGGTAAGAGCTGTCTCGCCTGGACGTCGCTCCTGGTCCCACAGATAGGTGTTTCCAATGTTGGAGTCTTCCAGGTTCGAAGCCCACAATCGAGCTGACTTTAAGGTTATCAACGTATGGGATTGCTGGCAAGCCTCCAGAGGAAATGTTGGAGCAGAAACACGCCATTCCAGCACTCACCTGCCGCAGCGCGTCAAACTCCAAGGAATTTCGCGCGGAACCCTGGCACGCGGTCCGAGACGGAGACCCAGCCCAGTCAGTCCCCAGAGAATGTGTTTCGAATTGGAAAAACGCTTTATAATGCCAAGTCTACGACAACTCTTTATCATGGTAAAGTTATGTCCGGAAACCTTTGATTTGAATCAATTTGCCTGATTGACCATGGGAAAAACATCCCTATCGAACGTTCGAGACATTTGATAATCTGCCATATATGAAAAGAAGGCGAATAACAATTCCTACAAACCCACCCATCATTCTCAGACCCACAAACTGGCAACTTCAATCTCAGCACCCATCCCATCCCAGCCAACCCTTATGCACACTACAACTCCCCCCCTCAACCCCCACCCCACCCCACCCCCCTGAAGTTGAACAGCTAAATGTGGCTGTATGGCCAGCAGCTATTCTCGTCCTGCAGCATCTACTACTTGCTCTTCTTCGTGGTGCCCTTGGGCAGCACCTGCTTGAAGTTCACCTTGGAGCTGTACAGCCCAGCGACCTTCCAGTTGGCAGGAATGACGGTCGAGAGCGTGATCTTCTCGAGCGTGTGGGGCGCCGTGAGCCAAACGCTCATGGCCTTCTTGGCTCCGACCACCTGCTTGGCGTCCGCGCCCGCCACCCACACGGCCTTGCTGCCGTCGCGCGTGAGGTTCACCCACTTGCTGCCGTCCGCGCTCAGCTCCACCTGAGACAGCGTGCCGGTGCCCGCCAGCCCCACCAGCCGGATCTTGAACTTGTCGGCCGTCGCGTCGCGTCGCACGCGCACGGCGGATCCCGCGGTAGACACACACGACGTGCGCTTGTACGTGATGTTCATGGGGCTCGCCGCGTCGCCCTTCACGATCTTGCCCCACGCCACGCGCGACAGCGACAGTTGCTTCGCCGCCTTGCCCTCGCCCACCACGCGCACCGTCACCGCCGCCTTGTCTCCGCGGCACCGCTTCGTGTCGTTGGCGCACTTCACGAGGTAGCACGCGCCGCAGCGCTTGTACCACGTGTCGGGCGGTAGCGTGGCGGTGAGCCCCATGCCGAAGTACGCGTTGAGCCCCATGCTGTAGTCCCCACGCCCGCGTTCTTGCTCAGCTTCGCTGTTGCCGTCAGAGGCTCATTCCCACGCCTGGCAGTAGCTTTCCCGGCGGCGGTCGCGTTTTTGGCGGTCGCGTTTCGAATTTCGCTGTTGAGATTCCGGCAGTGGCGTTCGCGGGTTTCGCAGTCGAGTTTCCCGCACTGGCGTTTGCGGGTTTCGCAGTGTCAGAAGCCGCGGCGGCGCCGCGCGCAGGAGCGGAGAGTAGCAGCGCAGGCGGTGAGGCAGGCGAGGAGGAAGAAGGCCTTGGCGGCGTCTCCCTTGCAGGGACGAGCCATGAATATCAATCGAGAGTCGCTGATAATACTGACCACGAGTGGTGAGCTAAAGTGGGAGGATTTTTATATCGAAGCAATGGTAGTGCTACCCGTGGTATTGGTGATGAAACAAGCTGCATTGGCCGCTGTTTTTTATAAGCGTCGGCGCCTCCGACGGCGTCGGGGACGCTCATGTCGAGCCGATCCATCGTCAATTTCCGCGGGTCGTTACTGATTATGGCTCGTGTGGCTTCCTCACCGTGCGAGGTTGCAGTTGCGTGTCCTGCTCTCCTGTCGACTCCTCCGTGATTATGAGCCTGGTGGCTGGACTCATATCTCGATGTGGTGCTGCTGCGAATGATGGCTTGATCACGCACTACCGCCTCACCTCCTCAATTGTAGGTTGCTCTTACGAGTGCAATTGAGTGAACGAACGAGAATTGCACTATGTAAGAAAGAATACAATAAGAGAAGGCATGAGCGAAGAATATATAGCAAAACTACAGTGGTAACGGTAATGGACTGTGGTTGTCGCGTGACGGGCCTGGGACTGAGGTTGGGAAAAGTATCGAAACGGAGGCCCGGAGCGCGGGCTACCCGCCGAGCCATGAGGTCGGGGTGCGACATGCGAGGTGGCGGGAGGATTGTCGATGTGAGAGTTGCAAGTGGTAACGGTGCTGACTGTGGGGCTACAGTGGTGTACGCGCTGAGCGGGGACGCGGAGTAAGGAAAAGGAATTTTTCCTTACACTACCCCCCCCCCCCCCCCCTAAGGAGGTCCTCCTTACGAAAGTGCGTGTACATCCCTGAAGTTTCCGCTGAGCAGATACTCGGTTAGGACGGGGTGGTTTTCGATTCTGTCCAGGGGAACCCAGTTGTATTTGGTGGGTGTACGGTCTTTCCAGCGGATCAGGAACTCGATCCTTCGGGCTCCTCGAGGGTCACGAACTCGGTGGCTCATGATTTTTTCGGGGGTGATGACTGGTTCAGTTGGCGGTCGTCTCATGCTGGCTGGGCGAGTGCGTGGCAGTTGGCTCGTGGATGGGATGTAAGGGCGAAGCAGGGTTACGTGGAATGAGGGGCTGACGTACCAGTCAGCGAGGAGGAGGAGGTGGGCGTTGACAGGTGTGATCATGTGGCTGATGCAAAATGGTCCACAGTATTGGGGGCGGAGTTTTGGGGTGATGGGCAGGCGAAGGTTCTAAGTGTCAAGTAAAACCAGGTCCTCGGGCTGGTAAGTGACAGGTCTGCGGTGGCGGTCGGCGTTACGTTTAGCGCTGATGTTGGATTTTTTTATTGCATATGCTGCCCGGGTCCGTGCTGCTTGTAATATTTCGGCGAACTGTTGTGCTCGTGGCATTGGGTGGTCGGGATTCGGGGTCATGGGTACTGTCGGGTCTTGTCCATAGTTTAGGTAAAATGGTGACTATTGGGTCCTAGCGGATGGCGAATTGTTGTACGCGAATTCGATGAGTGGCAGTTGTTGTTCCCACGTGGTCGGGTCGTCGCACGTGGCCCTGATGAGTTGTTCCATGATATGATTTGTCCGTTCTGTCTGTTCGTCAGTTTCGGGATATGATAATTTTTGAAAGTGTAATGAAATGCAACACTTTCTAAAATTTTGTACGGTATTGTGAAAAGGGGTACGTGGCCAACACAGCAAAGGTAGCGCCGAAGCGCTACTCACCCTCTTTTGCCTACAAAAGAGGGACGTGGGGACATTCGTCCCCACCCACGTTTTCATTTTCAAAATTGTAGTTCTAATTTCGTTCTCGTCCACACTGGCGAAGACTCAGTCGCTTCCGCGCTTCACTGCCCCGTCAACGCTCCTTAACGACATCCTTAAGCGCAACCTCGCAACGATGGCTCCGGTCAACCCAGCACTTAACCGCGACAATTCGAATAATTCTAGCCCCGGTAACCCGGCGGAAACTTCGACTCCGGCCGGGACAACGGATCGTCGCGGCGGAAAACGTCCCGCCGAGGAAATTTCAAGCGAGGGACCCTCGGCGGTCGACCTCCTGCTCGGAGGCACCCTTCGGACCCCCCCTGAGGAACGCGCGTCTGTTGTACAGTCGCGCGTGGCTGCTGCTGAAGAGCGCGTGCCTGGCAGGCACGCGCGTGCTGCGCAGAAGACGACGACCGACGCTGACGCGGGTCCATCCGGGCCCACGACCCAGAAACGCCAGCGCGCGGCACCCTCCGCTGACGTCACCCCGGTCAACGCCGCCCCCACCCCTTTGACCGCACAGCAACTGCAGGCGCTGCTCTCGTTATTGCAGCAGCACGCACCGTCGACTGCAGCTATATCAGCTGAAGAAATTTCTGCGTCAGCTAAAATCGAAAAGCAGAAGGAACCTGTCGCGGCTCCCCGCTCCACCAAAATCGCTCGCACCAACAACGCTGCTCCTGCTCCCGCCCCAGCTCCGGCACCAACCCAAGCCCGTATCCCCAACGACAGCGACAACACAGAAAATGAAGACGGTGAGGCCCCCGACAACCTTGCCCGTCGTCGCATTCTCGCACCCGCACCTCCCCTTCCCCCCATCAACCCTTCACCCGCAGCTACTACCTTCATGCGCAAGGGAGTGCGTGACCTGTGAAACAAAGAACGCGAATGAATGAACTATGAAATGAGTGAGTACAAGTACCAACCCTAATTGGGTTGTACCCCCTATGGGATACCCCACTATAGCCTACACAACAGCATAAGCTATAATGTTCTGACACACCCCCATAGGCAAAGTGGGGGAGAACAAGGGGTCACAAGACCAGTCAAGCAAAGCAAAGCAAAGCTCAGGGTGGATCACAAAGTCACCACACAGTCCAAGCACAAGGTCAAGGCCACAAGGCCAGTTCACATGCAAGAGGAGACATATATATATAACGCTAAACAAGCAAGAGCAGGTATATATATATGCAAGAGTACAAGCAAGGTCAAGAGGTGAGCAAGTGAGGTAAGACAGGTACAAGTCCCAACTGAGTGCAGAAGCGCTGATGATCACAAGGCGCAAGTGCCTTGGTGAAAACATCAGCAGTGTTGGCCTCAGAGGCCACGTACGCAAGTCGCAACTGACCTCGTTGCTGCAGCTCACGAGCAAGGAAGTAGCGGAGAGCAATGTGCTTCGTTCTGTGCTCCAAGCGCTGCTCTCAACACAAGGATGGCCTTGTTGTCTACGTACAGCACTGGAGGAGAACGAGGCGGCTCTCCAAGGTCAGTCACCATGTAGGTGAGCCACCGAAGCTCCTGTGCACCCATGGCCCCGGCGTAGATCTCAGCCTCACAACTGGAGCCAAGAACAAAAGACGAGCGAGTAGCCCGCCACGAAACAGAGCCAGAACCAAGACTGAAGGTGTACCCCTGCGACGACCGCTGCGTAGCCTGGTCGTCAGTCCAAGAAGCGTCTGCGTGGCCAGTGAGGACCACTGGACTCCGCCCTCCAAGCACTAACCCCATGCCCGACGTACTGCACAAGTAGCGCAACACCCTCTTCGCTGCAGCCATGTGCTCTGGTCGGTGTCTCCCAGGAGCAACATAGCGTGCAAGAATGCTAAGAGGGTATGCAAGGTCAGGTCGTGTGCAGGTCATCAGGTACATGAGGCAGCCAACAAGCTCTGGGTACGGACCACTCGACTCTACGGACTCATCCGAAGGCAGAGCTGAGAGCGAGTGGCGAGTAGCCAGAGGAGTGGCCTGAGGCGAGGAGTACGTGAAGCCGAAGCGCTGAAGGACCTGCTGCACCATGTGTGACTGAGTCAAGGTAATGGTGCGGCGTGCTCTGTCCCGAGTGATCTACAAGCCAAGGTAGCTGCGCACTTCACCCAGGTCTGTGCACGTGTGTCTCTTCAGCAGCTCGGACTTCACGTGGGCGAGTCCAGCAGTGTCAGCTGTGGCAAAGACCAAGTCATCGACGTACACGAGGATGTAGAACGGCGGCAGAGAAGTGTCGGTGCGCAGAAACAACGACGGGTCAGCAGTAGAGGGAGCAAACCCAAGAGCCACAAGCGTAGTCCTCAGTGTGTCGTGCCACTCACGCGGTGCCTGGCGGAGACCGTAGACTGGCCGTCGGAGGCTCCACTGAGTGCCAGGAGGGAAAGTCCCAGTGAAGCCACGTGGACGGCGCAGCCAGATCTCCTCGTGCAGGCTGCCCTGCAAGAAAGCTGTGCTGAAGTCAAGAGAGTGAAGCTCGTAGTCGCGCTAAGCGGCTATGTGCAGCAGCACCCGAAGAGTGGTCATCTTCGGGGTGGGAGAGAAGGTCTGAAAGTAGTCAACTCCCTGCCGCTGACTGAAGCCACGAGCCACGTACCGCGCCTTGAAGACAGGTGGAGAGTCAGGCGGCCGCTTCACCCTGAAGATCCATATGCCACTGACGATGTTCGCCCCAAGTGGGGGAACCGCGTCAACGTAGGTGCCTGTGGACTTCCAGGAAGCCATCTTTGCATCCATAGCTGCCCGCCACTGGGAGGAGTAGGGACCTTCTACAGCCTCCGCGTAAGAGCGCGGAGTCGGGATGTCTAGTGCATCCGGGTCTCCCTGAGGGGCAAGTAGTACAGACGCGAGATGAGGTGAAGCAGCAGCCAGACATTGGAACTCCTCCTGCCTGTCCTAAAAAACGTCCGTGCCAAGAGCACACTCACCCCCGACGGACGGAGGACAGAGAGACGCAGACTCAGCAACAAGACTTGCAGCGTAGTCTAGACGACAGCGAGC